CCCCAAAACCCCAAAACCCCAAAACCCCATCATTGCAGATATTAGCAATTTTTAGATACTTTGAATTTCATTAGAGAATTAAATCTTTAAATTATTTTATAAATGAAGTAGGGCAAAACCATTCAGGATTTGATCAGAGATTAAGAGGAGGCTGACTTAAAAGCAGCTATCAAACTCTAAGAAGAAGAAGTTAGAAAGCAGGAGTTAGAAAGGTAGAGAGAATAAAGGAGATAGATGATGGCTGGAGCATTCGGTAGAGGAAAAGAACCGTAGAAGTAATAGGAATAAGTGTAAATAACTGAGAAGGAAAGATAAGCTCTGCAATTAAAAGAGTTATAGGTGGCTCAAAAGTAGTAAGACCTTGAGAAGTAAAGATAAGAGAGAGCGATGAGAATGCAGAGAGTTTTTGAATAGAAAAGTTCTCAATAACAACCAATTATTGATGACTCTAAATCTATATCAAAGCCAATTCAATAAAATGAATAAGTGCTATCATAGCGTCAAAAAGAGATGCTAGATCAAAGGGCAAATGCATTTAAGAATAGAGGTAATTAAATAGCAGAGGAGATTAAGAAGTAAGAGAATGAATATTAGAGAATGTAGTAGTTTGAATAAGAAGCTATGAATGAATTCGTTGAGGAAAAAAAAGCTGAGGCAAGGAATAAGACGATACAGATTTAGTCAGTCCTTGACAAGAGAAAAGAATAATAATTTCTGATGGAAATTGATCAATCTGCTCAAATCCATAAATAAAATCTTGAAAGATCTATTCAGACACATTCAGAGTGGCTAATGCAGTAATTATTTGAGTAATCAGAGGCTCTTGGTGATGTTGAGTTTGTATTTCCAAATGAAAACAATTTGAAAATGAGATGTCACTCATTCATAATTAGTGCAAAATCACCATATTTCAATTCATTGATTAAGTTTCAATCTGACATGATACAAAGTCAATATATGCAACTTAATGAAGGACTGCTTAAATTAACTTCAAGCATTGATCATTTTAGTTACAAAACCTTTCAGGTGATGAAGAGATATTTTTACCTAGGAGAATTGGAATTTGATTCAAATGATCTAATAGAGATGCTAGAGTTATGTCAAGAATATCTTTTGTATGATGTAAAGCAGCTAATTGAGCATTTAATGGTTAAAAATGTTGATATTGAGAATTTCGCAGATTATATGCATTTGTGTCGAGTCTTTGACTGCAAAATACTGAAGGAGTTTCTATTTTATTTTTCAAAGAAAAACTATCAATAGCTAAAAAATAAAGGTAGTTTTAAAACACTTCAAAGAGATGAGTGGATGGTTATAAAAGAGTACGCCAATATTTGAATTAATATTATAAGTTAAATTGCTGATTAGTAATTTTTCAAAAGATTTAAACTCATAAGTTCTACTTCTATTAAGTTGTGTGGGGTTTTGGGGTTTTGGGG